ATTAAGGGTTAGTTAGTTGGCTTGTCGTGGCACACATTTGAATTGTACAACATGCAACATAATATAATAAAATAATTAAAAAATAATTATTATTACGACTTTAATTTTCTTATTTTAACAAGTCACGAAATGGATGGTCTTCAAGCCAGATTCAAATATTATGTTTCTCAAGCTGATAAAGAATTATCAAATTACCCGAAAATAGTTAAGTTGGAACAACAAACTGGAATCCAAAAAACTTATCTTGCAGCTAGTGTTGTTGGTACAATCTTTGTCTTGATCTTTTTCAATATATGGGGATCATTGTTATCCAACCTTATTGGCTGGCTTTATCCAGGTAGACATATTATTGCATTACTACTAATCATACACTATTATGTTATTATGTCATTTATTTTGAATTAATATAATTTTCTTTATCTATATATATATATATATATATGTTTGTTTGTTTGTATAAGCCTATATCTCTTTCAAAGCCATTGAAAGTACTGACAAAGCTGATGATACTCAATGGTTAACATATTGGTACGAATATGAATTTATATATAAATATACATAAACATGACATGCTTGAATAGCTAACTAATTAACCAATTAATTTGATTGTTTAGGACTGTATTTGGATTTTTCAATATTGTTGAATTCTTCTCTAATCTTGTTCTCTACTGGGTTCCTTTCTACTTTTTTATCAAAACAGTCTTTCTTTTATGGTATCAATTAAATCAATTATACATTAAAAATATAACGTTTACATATAATTAACGCATATTTATATTTATTTAAAGGCTTTTCCTTCCAACTTTTAATGGAGCCAAGGTTGTTTATGCGAAAGGAATTAGACCATTTCTTTTGGAGTATGAATACGATGTTGACAAAAACATTAGTAAATTGAATAAGAAAGTTGTCGATGATGTTCTTGATTCTTCTAGCAGTAATAAGGATGACTAAGCGAATTAATGAATGATTGGTTTTATAAAATAATTCATATACAATAGGAAATTTGTTAAATATTATTTTTCTATTCATAAAATAAATACGGGTATACTGCCCAATCATTTACGACAAGTGTCTTTATTTTCAATTATTTTTAGCAATAATGACAACAGGTCCATTAAAAAGCAACAATTAATTTGCTAA